ATTTAGTTCTGATTTAATCTTAATTTCACTTCTTCTGCTGGGTTTGGGGTTGGTCTGTTCTTTTTCCAGCTCTTTGAGTTGATTCATTAGATTGTCTATTTATGATCTTTTTGACTTTTGGATATAGGCATTTATGGAAATAAACTTTCTTCTCAGTACTGCTTTAGCTGTGTTCCAGAGGATTTGATAACTTGGTCTCTCCATTGTCATTAAGTTCAAAGAATTTTTTGATTTCCATCTTGATTTCCTCATTTATGAAGTGATCATTTAGTAGAAGGTTGTTTAATTTCCACATTTTTTGTAGAAATGTGGGTTTTTCTTTTTTTGAGACAGAGTCTCACTTTGTTGCCCTGGCTAGAGTGAATGCCGTGGCGTCAGCCTAGCTCACAGCAACCTCAAACTCCTGGGCTCAAGCAATCCTTCTGCCTCAGCCTCCTGACTAGCTGGGACTACAGGCATGCGCCACCATGTCCGGCTAATTTTTTCTATATATATTAGTTGGCCACTTAATTTCTTTCTATTTATAGTAGAGACGGGGTCTCGCTCTTGCTCAGGCTGGTTTCGAACTCCTGACCTCAAGTAATCCGCCCGCCTCAGCCTTCCAAAGTGCTAGGATTACAGGTCTGAGCCACCGCGCCCAGCTGAAATGTGGGTTTCTGTTAGGGTTGATTTCTACTTTTATTCCACTGTGATGTGAGAAGATACATGGTATGATTTCTAATTTTTAAAAATTTTTTGAGACTTGCTTTGTATCACCTAGGATATGGTCAATCTTAGAGAATGTCCCTTGAGCTGATAAGAACATATGCTCATTCCCAAGTGTGACATATGAAAAAAAAAAGAAAAAAGAGAACATATATTCAGTGGATTGGGAGTAGAATGTCCTGTAAATGTCAGTCAGGCCCAATTATTCTAGAGTTTTAAGTCTATTATTTCTTTATTAATTTTCTGTTTGGAGAATCTGTCCTGTTCAGTCAGTGGGATGTTGAAATCTCTGGTTATTATGGGGTTGCTGTTAATCAATTTGCTTGGATCCAGTAAGGTTTGTTTTATGAATCTGGGTGCACCTAAGTTGGGTAAATATATATTTAAAATTATTATGTCTTTTTATTGAACTGTACCCTTCACCATTATATAATGACCCTCTTTGTCTTTCACTACTTTTGTTGGTTTAAAAACTAAATTATCTGAAATCAGAACTGCCACGCCAGACTTCTTTTGGCTTCCATTTGCTTGAAATACTGACCTCCCCTCCCCCTTGACTTTTAGTCTATATGCATCCTTGCAGGTGAGGTGTGTTTCCTGAAGATAGCAGATACTTAGCTTGTATTTTTTTATCCATTCAGCCAGCCTATGTCTCTTGAGTGTGGAGTCTAAGCCGTTTACATTTATTGAGAGAACTGATAGGTGGAGCAGATTACTGTTCATTCTGTTGAGTTGGACGTTGTTGCTTTGTTTTCTCTCTTGAGCCATTGTGATATCTGGCCTTTAATTTTTAGCTTTTGGGTGTTTTTACATTTATGAGTATTTATTATGCTGATCTGTGTGTAACACTGTTTTGAGTAGTTCTTGTAGGGCTGGTCTTGTCTTGGTGAATCCCCTCAATCAGTTTTTGCTTATCTGAGAATGTCTTTATTTCTCCTTCATATATAAAACTTAGTTTTGCAGGGTACAAGATTCTAGGCTGGGCATTATTCTGTTTCAGAAGAGTGAGAATGGGGCCCCAGTCTCTCCTTGCTTGTAATGTTTCAGTTGAGAAGTCTGGCAGTATTCAAATCGGCTTTCCTTTGTATGTAACTTGCTTCTTTCAGCTTATAGCTTGTGGAAGGGTCTTTTTTGTTGATATTTTGGTCAGTCTGATGTCTACGTTTCGTGGGGTTTTCCTGTTTGCATTGTATCTCCGAGGGGTCCTTTGGGCTTCTTGGACTTAAATGTCTAGTTTATTGGTGAGACCTTGGAAATTTTCCTCAATAATATCTTCAAATAGCTTATCCAACCCTTGTGTTTTTTCTTCCTCATGTTCCGGAATCCAGAAGAGCCTCAGGTTATATTTCTTCATATAATCCCACAATTCTTGTAAGCTTTGCTCATGTCTCTTATTTTTCTGCTCTATCTCTGTGATTAACTTATTTGATTTAAAGGTGTTATCTTCAGTCTCTAAGATTCTTTCTTCTGTTTGGTCAACCCTATTTTTGAGGCTTTCCACTGTGTTTTGTATTTCCCTGAATAAATTCTTCATTTCCAGGAGATTGGATTGATTTTTCTTTAAGATCTTGATTTCCTTAGTGAATTTTTGTTCCAAGTCCTGGATTTTTTTGTGTGTGGTTTGTGTTGGTTATCCATTTTTTCTTGCATATCATTGAGCTTTCTTACAATTCAATTCTGGAATAATTCTTCTGTCATTTTAGTGTTTTGGGTTTGGTTAATATCCATTCTTGAGAGCTGGTGTATCTCTTTGGGGGAGTCATTTTAGTGTTTTGGGTTTGGTTAATATCCATTCTTGAGAGCTGGTGTATCTCTTTGGGGGAGTGTTTTCGGTTTGATTCTTCATAGTTTCAGAATTCTTTTGCTGAGCCCTCCCCATCTGGATCAGCTGTTTTTTGTTTTTTTTTTTTATGATACGTAACAGTCTCTGTGTATGCACTATTTCTGTGGGTGGTATATAAAGGAGGCAACCTGGGCGTCCTCTTCTATGGTTTCTTGATCTCCCACTGGTGGGAGCTCTTCCACCACACTTGGGAGGCTACCCCTGATGGGAGGGGTTACTTGTAGAGCCTATTGTGGCCATTTTCTGGGGATTTGTTCATTGACCACGGCCCTGGCTGCTTGCCGCTGACTGGGGGAGGAGATCCAGCCCCAGCATTTTGATCAACTGGGTGACCTAAACTGGTCTGGATAGCAGTCATTTGGCTGTCAGCTATTGATCTGTGCACAGACCCAGCAGACTCACCCTGGCTCAGGGGGATAGTGGCTTTTCTTGTCTCACCCTACCTCCAGGGGTGGAGCCTACCACTTTTGGTGCTAAAGATGCAGGCTAGGCGGAGGAGGTAGGACCCCAGTCTGCCCTGCACCCCCAGCACCCCAGTGGTTGTAACTCCCCTTGGCGTTAGCCTCCTCAGTACTAGAGTTCAGAGTTCATTGATCGAGCCAGGCCTGGCCAGCCAATTGCAGATTGTATAAGGGCAGAATTTGTCAGGAGTCTCCAGGCTGGGGGAGGGGATATCTGCCTGCCACACCATATCACATCACAGTGGCTGGGCTGTGGACCCCCTCAATGGCGACCACTTGCCCACTCGCAGGGCACCAGCACTGAGGACAACTGTTTAGAAGGTGGCAGGTGCCAGATTAGGGATCTGGGTCATCAGGACACCCCTTTGCTTCCTCCCCGTTGCTGAACAGCCATAGCTCTCGCTCCTACTGACCCACACTAGGTGGGCCTATTTACCAGACTCGGTTCCAGCTTAGAGTCCCCAACTTAGTGAACAACTCTGTAGGCCTGGCCCCACTGGTTACCAGAGGGAAGATGTCTAACTGCACCCCCTACCAGCTCAGTCCAGGTTCCTCCCAACTTGGTGCCATCCTAGCACGGAGCTGGGGGTTGGGTCCACAGCACCCACTACTCCTGCTGCGATGATTTTGCACCACCTTCAGGCAGGTCCCAGGCTGGGTGGGTATGAAGGTCAATGGGAAGCAATAAGTTCTCCAGTGGGTCTGATCCCACTTCACCCCCTGGTCCAGCAGGCCAGCGCCCTCCCATGCTCTATGCCCTATTGTTTGTTTTGTACTCTCCAGAGAATGTGATCTTATCTCCCTATCACCTTGTTTTTTCCATTTTTGAGAGTCCCACGCTGAACCTCTGCTTATTCACAATGCTGTTCTTGTGGGGGAGAGATCCACTAGCGTGTAGGAGACCAAGATCTATGTCTCTTTCTCTGGGAGCAGGAACCTGAGGGGTTACCTTTACTCCACCATTTTTTTCCTCCTCCTCTGTTCTTGATTTGTAATACCAAATTCGAAGCAATCCTAGGACCTTGCTTCCACTAACTACCTATGTCATGAAGGCCTTGAGATTCCTCCTCCCTACTCATCCTGCCATCAGCACCAGAACTGATAGCTTCCTTGGGCACTTTCCTACCACCAAGTCTGATTTAGACATGTTTGCAGCTATGTACCCTTCCCAGGCCCACTACATATAACACATGTAACCTTTCTTCTCTGGAGATATCACTGGATTTGTGATGATCACCCCCTCAGAACATTTGTTCCCATGTCAGATAGGCCCCAAAGGTAAATATTTTATGATACAGAATCGAAGAAATGCAACACTAGCCAAGCATAAAGGAAAAGCACCAAATTTCAAATAAGATATAAAGATCCCCAGAGTTTTAATCAAAATATTTTATATTTTTTGCTCTGTTAGCTTGAGGTCACTAAGAATTAGAAAACCCAAGGAACACTTTTAAAAAACTTAATGAGTCAACTTTAATAAGGAAAAATGACATTCTTCTTCCAGCAATGAACTATTTTAAAAGTAAAAAAGGGCTAAAACAAAAGGGTATAGGAACGGTTTAGCTTCTGTCACAAATACAAGTAGCCAGATGGATTTAGGTGAATATTGCCATACACACAGGCTTTTAAGAAGTGCATAAAAGACTGACTGCTAGGCCAGCAACAAGATGAAAATCCACCAGGCTGCCAGGCCTATACCCCAGACACCAGAATAAACCACTGTCTTCATAGCACATAGGAGACAAGATTTTCCCCAGTGAACAATGTGATTCAGTTATACTCTTCTTTCACTTATTGAAGGTTCTATACCATTTCACTGAGCAGACTTAATTTTTTACAAACTTTTAAAAAATATGTGGCAAAAAAAGGAAAGCAAACTAGGAGAGAACTATGATGTTTTTAGCTGTGGACAGTTACTGGGTCTGAAGGTGAGGCTTCCCAACTCGAACAGGCAGAGAAGTCATCGGCAGATTTTATGCCTCTGTTGTTACCCATATCCTTAAAACAGGACAAGATGGGATGACCACAACACCAAGGTCTCAAACAGCAGCTAAAATGTGCCAGAACTCTCCACCCTGCCCAGGACCTATGTTCCATTCCCTCAACAACAAAAGGAACAATGTTTTCTCAATAAGGCTTTAATTTCTCCTCCCAGTTGGACACAATGCTTAACATGGCCCTCACTACTCAGAAACCACTTCTACCCCTTTTGCTTTCTTCTTCTTCTTCTTCTTCTTTTTGATGGTGTCACTGTCCTAGACAGAAAGAGAAAAAGCTGCTAGCATCCATTAACAAAATAATTATGGAAATCTGCTAAGTTCCACAGTCAAGTCAGCCTTTTCAAGATTCGTAAGTATATTTTGGATTAAATGAATTTTGCATGTAACACAAAGTTCTGTGAAATTTTCAGTGACATCCTAAGTGGTCTACTTTTACAACTGGGAACATTCAGATTACCAAGGTACACATCCTCCCCATCCACCATCAACAGAGTTCTAACTCTGAGCAGTCACTATAAGATGCCAGGTGCCTCTATTTGTCCATCCTATGGGGGTCAGCAAGGGTACTCCAGGAACATAAGGAAGCACTAAAGGCACTGACTAGCAAGAGGCAAGGGTAGCATCCCACCTTTGGGCCACAGCCTCTCTAGGGGTAACAAAGCTGGCACCACCTGGGTAATTCTTCCCGAACCAAGGACTAAGCCAACCCAAGGAGCCTGAACATATTTATTCTCACCCCCTCTCCAGGCTCGCCCCCACTCTCTAGGGTAGCTTTGGCCTTCTTGTCCTTTTTATTCTTCTTCTTTTCCTTCTTGATCAATTGAGGAGCCGCTGGAGGAGTCTCATCGCTTTCACTCTCACTTTCTCGCTTCCGCTGAGATGAGAGCAATTGGTCAAAAGTTAGATAGATCTTGGGCAATGACAAACAAGAAAATTTCAGTAAATCTAAAGGCAGGGAGGCACCAAGAAAGATCCCAATTGGCTCCAATAGTAAGTTTTCTGATTAAAAACCCCTATAGGGCTATAGTTTACTATGGATTTGGCTCATCACAAAAGTCAAAGAAGCTGTGGGTCATGAAAGCAGCAGCACTGGGCTTGGGGATTAAAAGGCCCTGAATAACTGACTGTTTCATGAAAGGTGGACCACAAGGACCTCTAAGAGTACTCCCTTAAGTCCTCAAAGAAAGCAGGTAAAGCAGGAATTCATGTTTGACAAGTCAGAAGTTGTTCCCACATAGCTTATTGCAGGATGCTCGGTACCACCCAATGATTCTGAGTGCAGACATGTCATTCTGTGCTCTAATGCCGGCGGTTCCCAGCCCTGGGAAGCCAAGCTGCCTTTTTAAACACTGGGCTGGTGCTAGCTAGAGAATTTTGCCTATCTTGGAGCAAATTTTGCTCCCTGTTGAGTTTTATACAGCCCCAAGGGTCAACTACAACCTGCCATGGTCTCTAATTTCAACATACCTGTGCTACCACTTGACCCAGGATAGGGGCTAGAATACCATACCCAGTGTTGTTGAATACCAGAATACCATACCCAGTGTTGTTACTGTAGCTGACAGGGGAAGCCAAGGCTAGTCTGATTCCTCAGCCCACACTCCCTCTAGTAGACATGACAAGGAATATGAATCAGAGGAGTGTGCAGAGCACAACAGACAGATACCCAGGAGTATGAGATGACATTATGTATGTGTGTGCTGCAGCTCTGATGAAGGTAAGCCAGGATATATGATTACACTGCAGACAGTCACCAACATAAGCCCCAAACCAGTGTTTCTTAGAATTATCCTCAGGAGCACATTCCAAACAGATCACAGCATGCCACTCACCTTTGGGGCTTTTACTACTTCAGCAACTACCTGTGGGACTTTTACCATTTCAGCAACTACCATTGGAGCTTTTACTGCTTCAGCAACCACTTCTCTCTTGGTAGAATCACTGAAAGAGGAAAGACAGCAATAGGTCAAATTCACTGAATGGCTTTCCAGGGTAGCATTAATGTATCCTCAGTTGTGCACTGACACCTGGCAAGTCTAAAGCCACCATCAAAATATTGATGCTATACAAGTACATGAATGGGCCTAAAGAAAAGAAAAAAAAAATAAATAAAAAAAATAAAACAAAATATTGATGCTGGACAGAACTCACCACTTACTGTTGCAGACTGACTCCCTCTAGAGTCCCAGGAGCCAGGCTAGAAAGGGATAACTGCTGTGCAGGCCAAGCCCTAATTGGCCCAGGCAGCCAAGGTTTCACGGAGCCCAACAAGGAAAACTGAGCTGCAACACTGATTGGTTACTATGGGCCTGCATTTAGCAAGTCTGCCCCAAACTAAGCTACCCCCTCCCCTGGGCTCTACATCTCCCATCCTCACCTGTTGTCTATGTGCTCCTGTGTCCAAATGGAAAGTATGCTGTCTCTACCTTCCTCTCTTCACCTGTTGTCGATGTACTCCCACATTAAGACAGCAAGTATGCTATCTCTACCCACCCTGGCTCTGTAACAGCCTGCCCTCACCTGTAATCAACATACTCCTGCTTCCAGGTGTTAGGTGTGCTGTCTGTAGGTTTGCCATGCTTGTCCAGAAGGCCCTGCTTGATCATCAGCCTCTTCTGACTTGCCTGGTGGAATGTTGGTCTAACGTTAGAACAGCATCAACGCAGGAAGCAGACATTATGATTGCACAGAATGGCACAAGTTTCCTCCCTTGTGTATTCTCAGCCAGGCCTCAAACTCCTGTGCAAACGCTTTTGCACATGCTGTCCCACTGCCCTGAACTCTTCCCTCCCCTCTTTACCTCATTAACATCTAACCCACACATCACACAGAGAAGAGAAGACACCTTGCCCAGACCCCCTGACCATGTCAAACTCCTCACTGTGGACTCTCCAGGTGCCAGGCACCTCTCCATATGCCTTGAAAGCCATTAACATGGGTGAATTCACCACTCCACTGTGTGATTATTCAAGTAATGCCCAATTGTTTCCCTCTATTAGACTGAAATTTCTAAGGTCCAAGTCAGGACCTGTATTTCCACTCACCACTGACAATCCAGAGTCCAGCACAATACAAGGCTTTGGCAATGGGGACACGCCAAGAGCTGACTGAGTGTTCAACAACGTAAAACAAAATAACTTGGCAGGGCACACAACCCAGTCCCACTTACCTTTGGACCCAATCCCCACTTCCGAGGGTAAGTATCTCTCTCCATGATCACTCTTTTGATCTTGGCTACTATACCATGGTCACAGGTAGAGATCACTGCCGTGGTCATTAATGCAATAGCTACAGACATTTAAGAGAGAAAAGAATGACTTAAAGGGGAAAGAGCTAACTGATGAGCCCCATACCACCATTTTATCCCACTTTAAACCTTATTTTGGCTGAGCGCGATGGCTCATGCCTGTAATCCCAGCACTCTGAGAGGCTGAGGCAGGCGGATCGCTCAAAGGTCAGGAGTTCGAAACCACTCCAAGCAACAGCAAAACCCCCATCTCTACTAAAAATAGAAAGAAATTAATTGGCCATCTAAAAATATATAGAGAAAAAATTAGGCCGGGCGCGGTGGCTCACGCCTGTAATCCTAGCACTCTGGGAGGCTGAGGCGGGCGGATTGCTTGAGGTCAGCAGTTCGAAACCAGCCTGAGCAAGGGCAAGACCCCATCTCTACTAAAAATAGAAAGAAATTAATTGGCCAACTAATATATATAGGAAAAGATTAGCCGGCATTGGTGCGCATGTCTATAGTCCCAGCTCTCGGAGACTGAGCCAGCAGGAATGCTGAGTCCAGGAGTTTGAGGTTGTTGTGAGCTAGGCTGAGCCATGGCACTCACTCTAGCCTGGGCACAAAGTGAGACTCTGTCTCGAAAAAAAAAAAAAAGAAATAAGAAAAAATTAGCCAGGCATGGTGGCACATGCCTGGTACCCAGCTACTTGGGAGGCTAAGGCAGGAGGATCACTTGAGCCCAGGAATATGAGGTTGCTGTGAGCTAGGCTGATGCCATGGCACTCTAGCCCAGGCAACACAGTGAGACACTGTCTCAAAAAAATAAATAAACAAACCTCATTAAAATTCTGAGCTCTACTACTTTAATGTGGTTTCCTTTGCTCAGGATGTGTAAATGGAGCCCAACTTCAGAAGTAATGAGGGCAACATCCCTCCTTACCCATGCAGATCGCTTCCCCTTTGGTGGTGATGACCACAATCTCCTGATTGACCTCAATGCCATCCTCATATGGAGAACACCTGGAAGCATGATCTTGGCCCCATAGCAAATAGCATTCACCTGCAGAGATGGCAGTCATGTGTGAGAGTTTTAGCCACTGTCCTCCATCCCACCTTCATATCAGAATAATGGAGGATAACAAGGGGGAGGGTCAAAGGGGGGAAACAAGGGTAATGACAGTGATAGCCCACTGGCCATGAAGGGACTCAGAATAGCAGTGGCCACCTACTATGTGCTAGGCATTCCTCTAAGGACTTCACATGCATGATCCAAAAGTACTAAAATATCATTCTCCCTATGTCTATAATACTTCAGCTACTAAAGAACATGATGTCTTCAATAAATTATGCCATCAGGCTTTTAGGCTCTACCTTTTCCCATGGAATCATACAGGCATTTCATTTTAAACAAAAGAACAGCCTTAGCTTTCCTTAGTTGCGCCTCTCTCATTCTTATCAGGAAAAAGTAGAATTACTAGAGACTTAGGCAATAAAGGTTCCCAAAGAATTTCCAACAAGATTACAGAGGTCTGTTGAACCAGTCACACAAAAGGTTTGGTATAGAATTTATAGGCCAAATTGGTACAAGTTCAGCACACCCTCTCCAGGAGTTCAATGGCACCATCTGCCTCATGCCATCTCCCACCACTAGATCTCTTTTGCTGACGGTGCTATTTGCTGTTTTATGTGATTAAGTTTTTTCAATTATTATAATGCCATGTTTAATATACTTTTTCTTTTATGTTTTATTATGGACTATAACATTAAAATGCATCAAACATTATACAATTAAGATTTGAATATGAATAATTATCAACCTCAAATTACTAAACAAACAGAAATTTTTATCCCTCAAATTAGAAAAAAATTTTTTTTGACTACATAGTAATTAACAAAATTGGGCTGGTGTGGTAGCTCATACCTGTAATCCTAATGCTCTGGGAGGCCGAGTTGGGAGGATCGCTCAAGGTCAGGAGTTCTGAAACCAGCCTGAGCAAGAGCGAGACCCGTCTCTATTAAAAATAGAAAAAATTAATTGGCCAACTAAAAATATTATAAAAAATTAGCCGGGCATGGTGGCGTGTGCCTGTAGTCCCAGCTACTCAGGAGACTGAGGCAGGAGGATCGCTTGAGCCCAGGAGTTTGAGCTAGGTTGATGTCACGGCACTCTAGCCTGGGCAACAGAGTGAGACCTCGACTCAAAAAAAAAAAAAATAAAAATAAAAAGAGGACTACTGTCAATTATAAAGCTATTTAGTAAATAGCGAGGAAAAGGGCTGATAAACTCAAAGAAGTCTGGTTTTTTATAGCTCAAATTATGATTAAATAGAACAAAACTTTTATTGAAGTTCTCTACAAGCACATTAACTGTTATTAGAGCCCCAAAACACTCTAGTCCCAAAGTTTTTCTCCCATCAAAACCTTTTCTAACAGTAATTTAAATAAATCAGTGTTTCTTAGGCTCATGCGGAACTATAGGAGGGCAAATTTTATGTACCACTGATAGTCTATTACTTGAACAAGCTGCTTTTGGAGACCTCTTAAGGTCAATGTTAAATAATTTGCCTCATTTAGAAATGGGAATAGGCCTACCGTTAAACTTTTACTATAAATTAGTATTCTTGGCTTTGATTAAGAAAAAAATTAGCCATAACAATAAAGAACCCAGCGTCCAACATATGAAAGCCAGGAAAAAAAATAAATAATAAACCCCAAAGAAAATACCAAATATAAGTTCACAATGCAATGTTTCATTTCTTTAAACAGAATAAGTTTTCAGAACAAGGACCAAGTTCATTTGGATTCACATTCTGTCCAAACCTGGATCCTGACTCAGAACTTACTGCACTGTCTTCTAAACCAGCCTTTTATGAGATGTCAACAGCTTTCCAAAGGGTAAACAACCGCCGCAGGTAACTCTCATCCTTGTGGTTATCGTATAGCCATGGGCATCAGCACGTCATGCATCGTCACCATGTGGTCCTGAAAAACACCATGTATGAAAATAATTCAGTGCCTTCATATCTCGAATAGCCCAACAGACTCCAAACTTCCTAAAATGGAATGTAATTTGTCTACTAGTTATTAGACAAGCTCATCAAGAGTCTTCTGCCTCTTCAGAATCACTCTCTTTCGGACATCTTTAACTGCTGATATTTAGATCTAAGCAGCCATTTTTGTAGGACTAAGAGGTAAATGGATAATGATTTCTATCCAGTCATCTCCCCAGCCACATGTCAATGTCCCAAAGTTTAATAAATACAACAGGGAAGCTTCCCTGAACTGAACTCAACATGTTGGAAAGTGCCTTTCCCAGGATGTGAAGCAAGTGGTGTTCCACCCAAGGTCTGGGATTTAATAACTAGCTCTGAAACTTCTAGCTCCAAATGGCATACCTTCCACTCATGACTCCAGAACGAACTCTCCGAAGTTCCTGCATCTGACCACCAACTCCCAATAATAAACCAAGATGCACACACAATGTCCAATGTAGGTGCCAGCCTCCACAACTCACCCAAAAGATTCCTACAAACAAAAGCAGCACCTATTTGTCAGAGTAAACACATCACTAGTTGAGAAACCCAGAGTTATTTTCATCTGGACATCAAAACTAGAAATGAAATACATAGGCCATGACTATACAATATGCTAAGGGTATCCACTGTTTAAAAATATAAGAATTGAGGCCGGCGTGGTGGCTCACGCCTGTAATCCTAACACTCTGGGAGGCTAAGGCGGGCGGATCGCTCAAGGTCAGGAGTTCGAAACCAGCCTGAGCAAGAGCGAGACCCCCGTCTCTACTAAAAATAGAAAGAAATTAAGTGGCCAACTAATATAATAAGAAAAATTAGCCAGGCATGGTGGCACATGCCTGTAGTCCCAGCTACTTGTGAGGCTGAGGCAGAAGGATTGCTTGGGCCCAGGAGTTTGAGGTTCCTGTGAGCTAGGCTGACGCCACACCACTCACTCTACCTGGGCAACAAAGTGAGATTCTGTCTCAAAAATAAAAAAAAAAAAAAAAAAAGAAACTCAGACTGTTTATTGTTGTTTTTGACAATTAGTAGCATTTACGCATAGGCTCAATCAACTTCAAGGGCATATACTTTTAAACCTTTGCACTTGCTTGCTTTTTTTCTCGATTCCTTTATTCTACTCGGGATTTAATTTTTTAAATACCCCAGATTTTACAAAGCCCGGCAGTAGAAAAAAAAACTGGAGTTTCTTTCATACAAACTTATTTATTGGATGTTTTATATTTCAAATTATTGATACATTCAAAGAGTAATTTTAATCTCTATAATTTTCATGGTGTGTATATTTTGAAACATTCACTCACATGAAGACCTGGTTTACATTCACATGTTTCGCAAATATAAATCGTCTCTCTTCTTCCTCCTTTGACTTTTCTGTTAGAACAAACAACACAATCTTTGTGTTTTTTGTTAGGGTGAGGTGTGATTACATGGAGCTTTCCATCTAAACGTTGCTCTAAGTTAGTGGATAATAATCTACCCCTGGAAGTTAGTGTACCATCTCTGCATTTACATTTTTTTTTTTTTGAGACAGAGTCTCGCTGTGTTACATAGGCTAGAGAGTGCCGTGGCGTTAGCCTAACTCACAGCAACCTCAAACTCCTGGGCTCAAGCAACCTTTGTCTCAGCCTCCCGAGTAGCTGGACTACAGGCATGCGCCACCATCGCCGGCTAATTTTTTCTATATATATTAGTTGGCCAATTAATTTCTTCTATTATAGTAGAGATAGGGTCTCGCTCTTGCTCAGGCTGGTTTTGAACTCCTGACCTCGAGCGATCGCCCCCCTGGCCTCCAGAGAGAGTAGGATTACAGGCATAACCACCGCCCCCTGCCTCTGCATTTACATTTTATTTGTCCTTTCATGCTAATGAAAAGAAGAAAAAATACTAGAAAAATAGACAAAATCTCCCTTCCCCCACGGTGAAAACCACATGTCGAGTGTGGCTCACATACGAGTGCAAAGGTTAACAACAGGATAGAATTCTCTAGAATGTGTTCCTACCCACTTGTGGTCTATGTCAATTCAGTTCCTCACAGGCCTAATGACCCACCTAATCTTCTTTCAGGATCGTATTCAATCATTTTGCTCTCGTAGATTGTTCTCACTCGAAGCTGCCTCTTTACTGCAGCAATAAGTGGGGGTCGCTGGAACAGGGCACCAGTCAGAGTTTCTAGGGCCTAAGAACAAGCACAAACCAAAATCCTCTCATCACAAGGGACATGGCTAGAAGTTCTCCTGCCATCTGCAGTCACCCACCAGGTGGGCTAGGGCAGCCTACTGAAAAGGGCACAGGAGAGGCCAGCCGAGAAAGCTGACCTGTCTCCAGAGACCCAAGCTACCAAAGGATGCCCTCCCTACAACTGCAGACTTACCCTAGAAAGCTGGGTACCCCCTTCAATAGCATTGTGCAGCCGGACAATTCCCACATACTCTTTGCCTGAAAAATGACAAAAGAGTAGTCAGGTGTGGCCACTGAGTTTTCTGTTTTCTATATTTTTATATCCTCAATCATTCCCATTTTGCATAACAGGAAAAGCAGGAAATTTGACCTGTTTCTGTAAAATCTGCATTAAGGCAGATTTCATGGTGATGATGTGAGAAAGGAAGACACTTTCCCTGGGAGTCCAATGTACTGATAGAACAGTTGGCAGTATCAAGTGTAGAGCCTGCCTGGAAAACATCTTACAAGATAACAATTTTCTCAGATGAAAATGAAGTAAGGAAAAAAAAAAGAGGGAAGGACACTTTAGGCAGAAACAACAGCAGAGAGGAGCCTGGAGTGACAAGCTGAGAGCTGGACTTGGACAGAGTTCTGCCTCACTGCTAGGGTGGATCTCATCAGCTCAATATATACATGTCTACTATCTGGAACTCCAAGAAGAGCAGACCCGCCAGGATCTGGCAGGCAGAGGACAGAAGGTAACCAGAAATCAAAAGAATTTCTCTGCTTCAGGATTTTCTTTGTCCTGATGAAGAAACAGTTTCTAAGAGCCAAAATGTAAAAGAAAAATGCAGAAAGCTATCCAATCTGCCAGTAGCCAGCCCTTTCCCCCATCTTACACATACCTGCACTCTGTTGTGATTTCACCAACCGAGTGGCTCGTTCTATGCACACAATTAAACATCCAGTCACCTTGGGATCCAGAGTACCACTGTGTCCTGTCTTCTCCACCCTAAGTATTCGTCGAATCCAGGCTACCACCTCATGGGAAGAGGGGTTAGAGGGTTTGTCAAGATTAATGAAACCTGTCCTAGAATGGAAGAAAAAAAATATCACCTGTTCTTGTGCTCTAATAAAACAACAAATATGAAGAGCTAAAAAGGAAAAAGAATTCACCATGGTTACAGGTTATATATTCATGGCAAAACTATTTTAATATGCCACTACCTCCTTTAACAGGTGATGTGAAAGTATCCGTTTCAAAAGAACAGATGTTTGAACAGTGCTTGCTTCCAACACATTTACCTGATATAGTCCCCAATCTCTCTCTTCAGAGGATTTGAACCTGAAGGAAGAGGTGTATAGTGCGCTGTCCTCACATTCAGCTTATCGAAATTCTAAAATCACAAAATAAAATAACAAACCATTTATTTATTTATTTATTTTGAGATAGTCTCACTCTGTTGCCCAGGCTAGAGTGCTGTGGCCTCAGCCTATCTCACAGCAACCTCAAAGTCTTGGGCTCAAGCATTCCTTCTGCCTCAGCCTCCCACGTAGCTGGGACTACAGGCATGCACCACCATGCCCGGCTAATTTTTTCTATATGTTTTTTGCTGTCCAGATAATTTCTTTCTATTTTTAGTAGAGATGGGGTCTTGCTCTTGCTCAGGCTGGTCTTGAACTCCTGACCTTGAGGGATCCTCCCGCCTCGGCCTCCCAGAGTGGTAGGATTACAGGCGTGAGCCCATGCCAGGTAAATAACCAACCATTAACACATGTAAAACAAGAGTCAGCACCACAATCGACCATGCTATTGTAACCCTTTGGGTTCATAAATCTGGATGTTTTGCTCCTATATTTCTATTACCTGCTGTGACAGACTGTTAAGCCTCCTTACGTACCAGGAAAATTATCCATATTAGTAAGAACAAGACAAATTTGAGCACCTATAGGTTTACGTCATTGATCTAAAAAGAGGAGATTTCTTGGGGGTAGCACAGAACATACTGGGATTCACTGGGTAGGATTATGAATAAAACACAAAATAGTTTTGATTTTCTCAGGGACAAAAGATAGCCAAATAGAGGATGACTGGCAACATTTTTCAACATGGCCCCAGATATCAGAGCAGAGAGATCTCTGTTCTCCACATGTATGTTCTTTTGGGTCTCCTCCTTTCTGAGGCTTGACCACCACTCTGAAAGAGCTCCCCCAACTAAAGCCCACCTTTAATCACCAGTTTAGTTTCATGACGGTACTTACTACAAATAGCAATTCTTTTTTAACTGTCTATCTCACATCCCTTGATTTTAAGTTCCATGACAGTAGGGACCTTGCCTACCCTGTTCACTAGCATATCCCCAGGGCCTATGATAGAAAAGCAGATGCTAAATGACAGATATCTGGCCAAACAAAAACCCAACTGTGTTGAATTATATAAGCAAATCCCATTCTATTACCACCTCATATATAATGGTTTATTAAAACTCTTTCTTGGCCGGGCGCGGTGGCTCACGCCTGTAATCCTAGCACTCTGGAAGGCCGAGGCGGGATGGCTGCTCGAGGTCAGGAGTTCAAAACTAGCCTGAGCAAGAACGAGACCCCCGCCTCTACTATAAATAGAAAGAAATTAACTTTCATAACCCAGCCTTTTATGAGATGTCAACAGCTTTTCCAAAGGGTAAACAACCCGCCGCAGGTAACTCTCATCCTTGTGGTTATCGTATAGCCACTGGGCATCAAGCACGTCATGCATCGTCACCATGTGGTCCTGAAAACAGCCATGTATGAAAATAATTCAGTGCCTTCATATCTCGAATAGCCCAACAGACTCCAAACTTCCTAAAATGGAAGTAATTTGTCTACTAGTTATTAGACAAGCTCATCAAGAGTCTTCTGCCTCTTCAGAATACACCTCTCTTCTGGACATCTTTAACTGCTGATATGTTAGATCTAAGCAGCCTTTTTTGTAGGACTAAGAGGTAAATGGATAATGATTTCTATCCAGTCATCTCCCCTAGCCCATGTCAATGTCCCAAAGTTTAATAAATACAACAGGGAAGCTTCCCTGAACTGAACTCAACATGTTGGAAAGTGCCTTTCCCAGGATGTGAAGCAAGTGGTGTTCCACCAAGGTCTGGGATTTAATAACTAGCTCTGAAACTTCTAGCTCCATAATGGCATACCTTCCACTCATGACTCCAGAACGAACTCTCCGAAGTTCCTGCATCTGACCACCAACTCCCAATAATAACCAAGATGCCACACAATGTCCGAATGTAGGTGCCAGCCTCACAACTCACCCAAAAGATTCCTACAAAACAAAAGCAGCACCTATTTGTCAGAGTAAACACATCACTAGTTGAGAAACCCAGAGTTATTCTTCATCTGGGACATCAAAACTAGAAATGAAATACATAGGCCATGACTATACAATATGGCTAAGGGTATCTCACTGTTTAAAATATAAGAATTGAGGCCGGGCGTGGTGGCTCACGCCTGTAATCCTAACATCTGGGAGGCTAAGGCGGGCGGATCGCTCAGGTCAGGAGTTCGAAACCAGCCTGAGCAAGAGCGAGACCCCGTCTCTACTAAAAATAGAAAGAAATTAAGTGGCCAACTAATATATATAGAAAAAATTAGCCAGGCATGGTGGCACATGCCTGTAGTCCCAGCTACTTGTGAGGCTGAGGCAGAAGGATTGCTTGGGCCCAGGAGTTTGAGGTTCCTGTGAGCTAGGCTGACGCCACAGCACTCACTCTAGCCTGGGCAACAAAGTGAGATTCTGTCTCAAAATAAAAAAAAAAAAAAAAAAAAAGAAACTCAGACTGTTTATTGTTGCTTTTTGACAATTAGTAGCATTTTACGCATAGGCTTCAATCAACTTCAAGGGCATATACTTTTAAACCTTTGCACTTGCTTGCTTTTTTCTCGATTCCTTTATTCTACTCGGGATTTAATTTTTAAATACCCAGATTTTACAAAGCCCGGCAGTAGAAAAAAAACTGGAGTTTCTTTTTCATACAAACTTATTTATTTGGATGTTTTATATTTCAAATTATTGATACATTCAAAGAGTAATTTTAATCTCTATAATTTTTCATGGTGTGATATTTTTTGAAACATTCACTCACATGAAGACCTGGTTTACATTCACATGTTTCGCAAATATAAATCGTCTCTCTTCTTCCTCCTTTGCTTTTCTTGTTAGAACAAACAACACAATCTTTGTGTTTTTGTTAGGGTGAGGTGTGATTACATGGAGCTTTCCATCTAAACGTTGCTCTAAGTTAGTGGATAATAATCTACCCCTGGAAGTTAGTGTACCATCTCTGCATTTACATTTTTTTTTTTTTGAGACAGAGTCTCGCTGTGTTACATAGGCTAGAGAGTGCCGTGGCGTTAGCCTAACTCACAGCAACCTCAAACTCCTGGGCTCAAGCAATCCTTCTGTCTCAGCCTCCCGAGTAGCTGGGACTACAGGCATGCGCCACCATGCCCGGCTAATTTTTTCTATATATATTAGTTGGCCAATTAATTTCTTTCTATTATAGTAGAGATAGGGTCTCGCTCTTGCTCAGGCTGGTTTTTGAACTCCTGACCTCGAGCGATCCGCCCGCCCTGGCCTCCCAGAGAGCTAGGATTACAGGCATAACAACCGCCCCCTGCCTCTGCATTTACATTTTATTGTCCTTTCATGCTAATGAAAAGAAGAAAAAATACTAGAAAAATAGACAAAATCTCCCTTCCCCCCACGGTGAAAACCACATGTCGAGTGTGCTCAACATACGAGTGCAAAGGGTTAACAACAGGATAGAATTCTCTAGAATGTGTTCCTACCCACTTGTGGTCTATGTCAATTCAGTTCCTCACAGGCCTAATGACCCACCTAATCTTCTTTCAGGATCGTATTCAATCATTTTGCTCTCGTAGATTGTTCTCACTCGAAGCTGCCTCTTTACTGCAGCAATAAGTGGGGGTCCGCTGGAACAGGGCACCAGTCAGAGTTTCTAGGGCCTAAGAACAAGCACAAACCAAAATCCTCTCATCACAAGGGACATGGCTAGAAGTTCTCCTGCATCTGCAGTCACCCGACCGGAGGAGCGTGGGCCTCTAGGGCCAAGCCTACCTGACAGAAGGGCACAGGAGAGCGTCAGCAGTTCGAAACCAGCCTGAGCAAGGGCAAGACCCCATCTCTACTAAAAATAGAAAGAAATTAATTGGCCAACTAATATATATAGGAAAAATTAGCCGGGCATGGTGGCGCATGTCTATAGTCCCAGCTACTCGGGAGACTGAGGCAGCAGGAATGCTTGAGTCCAGGAGTTTGAGGTTGTTGTGAGCTAGGCTGACGCCATGGCACTCACTCTAGCCTGGGCAACAAAGTGAGACTCTGTCTCGAAAAAAAAAAAAAAGAAATAAGAAAAAATTAGCCAGGCATGGTGGCACATGCCTGTAGTCCCAGCTACTTGGGAGGCTAAGGCAGGAGGATCACTTGAGCCCAGGAATATGAGGTTGCTGTGAGCTAGGCTGATGCCATGGCACTCTAGCCCAGGCAACACAGTGAGACACTGTCTCAAAAAAATAAATAAATAAACAAACCTCATTTAAAATTCTGAGCTCTACTACTTTAATGGTGGTTTCCTTTGCTCAGGATGTGTAAATGGAGCCCCAACTTCAGAAGTAATGAGGGCAACATCCCCTCTTACCCATGCAGATCGCTTCCCCTTTGGTGGTGATGACCACAATCTCCTGATTGACCTCAATGCCATCCTCATATCGGAGAACACCTGGAAGCATGATCTTGGCCCCATAGCAAATAGCATTCACCTGCAGAGATGGCAGTCATGTGTGAGAGTTTTAGCCACTGTCCTCCATCCCACCTTCATATCAGAATAATGGAGGATAACAAGGGGGAGGGTCAAAGGGGGGAAACAAGGGTAATGACAGTGATAGCCCACTGGCCATGAAGGGACTCAGAATAGCAGTGGCCACCTACTATGTGCTAGGCATTCCTCTAAGGACTTCACATGCATGATCCAAAAGTACTAAAATATCTATTTCTCCTATGTCTATAATACTTCAGCTACTAAAGAACAATGATGTCTTCAATAAATTATGCCATCAGGCTTTTAGGCTCTACCTTTTTCCCATGGAATCTACAGGCATTTTCATTTTAAACAAAAGAACAGCCTTAGCTTTCCTTAGTTGCTCCTCTCTATTTCTTATCAGGAAAAAGTAGAATTACTAGAGACTTAGGCAATAACAGGTTCCCAAAGAATTTCCAACAAGATTACAGAGGTCTGTTGAACCAGTCACACAAAAGGTTTGGTATAGAATTTATAGGCCAAATTGGTACAAGTTCAGCACACCTCTCCAGGAGTTCAATGGCACCATC